TTCCCCTCCCCCTCTACCACACCTCTCTCTCGATACACTCCCTCCCTTCCTTCTCACCCTCCCTCCAATCCTCTCTCCCGCCCTCTCTCCCCCTCTTTCTTCTTGATTCTTGATCTCTCTTAAAAGGAAAAGGTGGAATTAACTTATCTAAGAGTGGCTTCGGATATTGCATAAATTGGGGGGAAAAAACAACCCCCATTACCACACAGGGGTTGCAGAATCTTACTTAGAAAAATCTGTAGAATTCTGAAGGAAAGGTAATAGCTTTACGCATGGGATTTAAACACTTTTTTTCCACACTATAGGGAATTTGTGGGTGGGGGGAAATGGAAGACAACCTGTTTTTTTAAAAAATGAAAATAGATTTTAAACAATGGAGGGACTTTGATGGTTTTCCTATTAATCTTTGGCAGCTAACATACCAAAAGACAACCACTCTTTCTCCGGGTGGCAGCCCCAAAGAAATTTCTGGAAGGCTGAACCCGAAAGTGATCTGTTGGCCCTTGAACATTTCCCACAACCCTGTAAAGAAACATGGTGTTTTCTCATTATTTAATGGTGCCTGCACAGTGTACAGGGGTGGCTCAGTGGCTAAGACGCTGAACTTGTCGATCAGAAAGGTCGGAAGTTCAGCGGTTTGAATCCCTAGCGCTGCATAATGGAGTGAGCTCCCGTTACTTGTCCCACCTTCTGCCAATCTAGCAGTTCGAAAGCATGTAAAAAATGCAAGTAGAAAAATAGGGACCACCTATTGGAGGGAAGGTAACAGTGTTCTGTGCGCCTTCAGCATTTAGTCATGCCAGCCGCATGACCACGGAGACATCTTCGGACAGCGCTGGCTCTTCGGCTTTGAAATGAAGATGAGCACTGCTCCCTAGTGTCGGGAATGACTAGCATATATGTGCGAGGGGAACCTTTACCATTTACCTTTAATGGTGCCTGCAATCCTATCATCTCAGGTAACCAGGTCTCTTTAGCGTAGAGCAAGCTCAGCCTTGTGGAAGAGTTGAGTGGTTGGTCAAGAGCTCAAGAACATCTGCTTTCCATTTGAGGAACAAGGAACTCTAGTTATCTGAAGAGTCCACAAGCAGTTAAACCCATAGAACCAATTTACTATTTCAATTCATGCAGAAGAAAAAACATATCATTTTAACTAGCAGGTGGTAATCGTAGTAAAGCCATACAAGGAAGGAGGCAACTGTCTCCCAGAGTTTGCCCAAATTCAGGTTCATTGCATTGATGACACTATCTAGCCATCTCCTCCTTTGCTGTCTCCTTCTCCTTCTACCTTCCATCTTTCCCAAGAGCAGATGATAGATAGATAGATAGATGAGAGAGAGAGAGAGAGAGAGAGAGAGAGAGAGAGAGAGAGAGAGAGAGAGAGAGAGAGAAATGGGATATGATAAAGAGAGAGAGAGAAGTAAAGAAGTAGATAGAGAAGTAGAGAAATAGAAAGAGATGATAGAGAGAGATAAAGGGAGAAGTAGAGAAATAGAGACAGAGAGAGACAGACAGAGACAGAGAGAGACAGATAGAGAGACACAGACAGACAGACATGATAAAAATAGATAGATAAGGGGGAAAGGTAGAGAAGTAGCTAAAGGGATAGAGAAAGAGAAAGAGAAAGAAAGAAAAGAAAGAAAAGAAAACAGAAAGACACACACACATAAACAAACAAGCATTCCCCACAGTTGCTGCCAAGGTCACGTCCACTAGATCTATGCTCCAACAGTTTTCCCAAGCTGATCTAGAGATTCCCAACCCAGATTAAGACAGAGATCCTGTCCTCCTCCACGCTATTCTATGGTAGACTGCCTCTGCAATTAGCCTGGTTAACCAATCGATCTTCCCTAATTTATTCCCTCTCCTTTAAAATCTTTTANGTCTTACTAAGGCTTTATTTATAGAGTGGTATTAGTACCTCCCTTCATCTTGATTGTAGCCCTCTGTTAATGCAATTTAGGATTACATTAGCTTTTTTGGCTGCCGCTGCACACTATTGGCTCATATTTATCTGGTTGTCCACTAAGACTCCAAGATCCCTCTCACAGTCACTGCTATGAAGCCTGGTTTCACCCAGTCTATTTGTGTCCTTTTGGTTTTTCTTGCCTTAGTTTAAGACTTTACTTTTTTCTGCATTGAATCATTTTGTTAAATAGGGCCCAGGGTTCAAATCTGTCAAGATCCATCTGGTGTCAGCGTTCCAAGTATCACGCAGAATTAAATCAGAATCCAAGGCAAAACGATGCTTTTTGTTCCAATTTAATAACACAGACATCTTAGGCACATCTGTCTTATTAAATTGGAACAAAAAGGATCNAGGCAAGCAAGCGAGCAATGGGAAGCAGCGGTTGGGAAGAACCTCGTGCGAGGCGATGTTTTGAATTGCGCCTCTGTTCCCCAGGATTAAAGGATGAATAGGCACGGCTGCGATGAAGAGAGAAGGCGATTCAGGATCCCCGAATAAGGTACTTCTCTCTTTCCCTCCTCTCCTACTCCCCCCTCTACTCCAACCCTTCCCCCCCACCCTTATTTCTTTTGCAGAACTAGACACAGATCCTTTATGCTCTGGGAATCCGTCTCTGGGGTGGGGTGGTGGGTGCAAGGGGCGAAGAGAAGCAGGAGCAGAAAATAGGCTGGTCTTCGATTGAAAGGATGCCATGGGTAGCCAGCGACCCAGGCTTCGGGGAAAGCGGGCGGGAGGTTCGTGGGTGCCGCTGTTGAGCTCGCTGAGCTATGGAGTTGCTAGAGAAGGCGGGGATGAAGCCAACGGGTATCTTCATTGTTGAGTTAAGACCCCTTGCTATGTGGAACCAGGCGGAGTATGCATTTCCCCCTTCCTCCCCTGCGCCTAGTTGCCACTGCTCCCCAGCCTAGGATTTCACCCTGCCCCATCCTCTCTCTTGCACCTAGTTGCCAACTGCCCTCCTTGTTCCTACGGAGGTTGGTGTTAGCATTTCCAGCAGCAATAAGGTCAGCGGGAGATGCTATGACAAATCGGCCAGCAGAAACCAATTTGACGAGGGGACCTCGGGGAGGCTGGCGTGGCTTGCCTTCCCTTCGCGAGGAGAACTGCCCCCCCTGCTTAAGTGCAATAAATTGGTACAGGCCATTATCAGCATCAGGAGCCCTCTGATTCTCCAAGGGGGTGGGGGCCAGGGCTTAAGGGGAGCAAAGCCCATCAGGCACAAATGTGAATCCAGACTCAGCCTCTTTCCTCCCCCCACCCCCACCCCCTGCTCCCTCCCATTGCCCTTCCCCTCCCCTTCCTTGTTCGTTCTCTCTTCCTCTCCTCCTCAAGGCTCTCTTCCTCCTTCCTCCCTTCTTTCCTTTCTCTTCGAAGCCGCTCCTATTATTTATTTATTTTCCCCTCCCTCCCTTCCGAGGCAAGCCAGCGCCAAGCCAGGGGTCTTTACAAGAAGACAGCGAAGCAGGAAGAGGAGAAGAACTGGTGGTGCTGTGCTGTATATATATATAGAGAGAGAGAGAGAGAGAG